TCTCTGATAACGTTTACATTCTGGGGCGACATCCTCAAGTTTTAGGAATAAACCTATCAGGTTTTAGATCTCAAGAAATTATTTAGAATTTTTTATTTTTGTTCAGTGAAATCTTAACCAACCAAGCAAATATTTAGGTTTAACAAATTCAATTCAGTTAATTTCTATAGCGCCAATTCACAACACATGTCATCTCAAGGCACTTTACAGTTCACCAGATCATACAGTCAAATTGATTCAAAGTTTTCTTTCTAAGGAAAACCAGTTGATGGCATCGACTCATTGACTCAAAGGCAATCCCTCACACTAAGCATGCTTGTAACGACAGTGGAGAGGAAAAACTCCCTTTTAACAAAGCTACCTTCTCATCTAAAAACACCTTCAAAGTTTATTTTTTTGTGACAGAAACCATGATATATTAAGTTTCATTCACAAGTTTTGTCACAGTAAACCACTATTGCTGTTTAAACATAACCAATCCACTTGACCCACAAAGAATCATGGGAAATAGACGAATGATTAATTTAATTTATGTAACAATATAAGTAATAGAACCAATATTTTTAGACTTAAGAACTGATCCGACCCGACAACTTTTTTCTAAGATCTTATAACTAATTTCCTGAGACCTGAGAATGTTAACTGTACACGGTGCTCTGAAACTTTGATAATACAATAAGCTTAGCAAAAATTAATGTTACTACAGAAAGCCTGATATTTTAAAAAAAACAAGCTGTTTAGGAACAAGTAAGGTTTAAATATGTTCTTTTTTGTGTGAAATCTGTGTTTGCTTAAAACAACATAAAATAAATCAACTTCATTACTCGTGCATAGATATTTGGGATGATATGAATAATCTCTCTGCATTTTTTTCAATAATACAAATGAAAAAAGAAACTTTCATTGCATTTAACTGAATCAAATCTGAACATTAATATTTGATAGTTGTCTTTTACCTACATGAGCTTTATGGATCCAAACATAGCCTCCAAATGTGCTGTTCAAGCCATTTTGCTGCTATAATAAAGGAAGGCCTTTTAGTGAACATAGTGACAGCGGTGTCTCTGTGAATAGCATAAAGTTGAGCTTCACCTCATGGCTTATCGGTGTCTGCCTCTTTTCTGGCTCCTTTGTTTTTAGGTGTTCATGGGCAGAGGGTGTAATCATGGAGAGGAGGCTTTGGTTTGGGAACATAAATGCTCTCATCTTTGCATTTGGCAAATTATTTTTCTCTGTCGGCATCTTTAGGCCGTGACCTTCTGATTGCATTGGAACTTTATCCATTCTGAAATGTGCCTACCTTGTAATCCTCAAGATGAGCTGGACCACAACACATTCTATCTCTTTATTGTTTTTATTTAATCATATAATTATATTTTTTAATTATGGAGCATAGGCGGAAGCTCAACTGAAGACACTCATTACTTTCATACATCCACCTGCAACACAGTCAATCAGCTTTGAACCACACCTCCACGAAAGCCAATCGGCATCCAAAGTTCATCTTATAAGACCTCCGATACGCACCTGTGTGCTCCTGTGTGCGGGCGGCGGATACGCTGTAAGTTCATTCAGATTACACTGTTTCAACCCACCTACAGCCCCTCCTCCACCTTCGTAGCTAAAGCTTAATCAGAGTGTCATTCCTCCCGGACTCTTCCTGCATTCCCTGTCTCATCTTAACCGGTCCAACAGAAGACCGCCATGTTGAGCCTGGTTCTGCCAGAGGTTTCTTCCTAATGGGGAGTTTTTCCTCTCCACTGTCGCTTCATGCTTGCCCATCATGGACAGGTTCTCTCAACCTGTGTTATCCAAACTGGACTTCCATTTTCCGGGTCCCTGAATGAAACACTAGTATCAGCTCACGTAATCCACTGGATCTCTCCATAAAGCTCAGCAGACCGTCTCACTAACCAGCAGTCTACAGACTGACCAACTTAAAATATCTCCACCCTATTCTTTGCTCCTGTTCATGCATATCTATTAAAATTAAGCGCAATGTTTCGTGCCGAGGTCTGAGCGCCAAAGACCAAGTAATTGTATCAATAAATTTCTCTTGTCTTTTCTCTTTGTGTGAGTTTTTCAGATTCAAATAACATTCAACAGAAGCAATACTTGAGTCAGCCTCCATGGGTCATATTCGACTTTACATCACATACGTTCAGCTATCTGAGTGAGAGCTTCTGGACATATTTTAGTTTAATTTATGGAGACCAATGCACACAAAAAATATGTAAGTCAAACTCATTCAGAATGTAGAGATGATTCATTAAACTCGGACGGTAAATAATCTACTAAATAATGAGAGGAAAGCAAGAATTTGATTATCAAATACAAACCACTAAAAAACAAAAGAAACAAAAAACAGCTTAAAAAAAAAGTAGGTGGGAAAAAAATGTTTTACTCTAAAACTTCATCTATAAGTATGAAAGTTAATATTAAATAATTGTATAACTTACTATAAAAATGAGAATTGAACCAGATTATTTTCCGACTTTTTATAATATGGTTGTGTTTATTATTTTATCAAACGCTCACGCAGTTTAGGGATTTTTTTCCATTGATTTCTGCCTTAGTTAGCAAGTCTTTGTCGCCATCTGCTGGTCACATGAGGAAGGCGTTAACTGCAGCCACCAGTATAAAAACAAATAGAAATCCACCTCACATGCCTTTAACCCATTACCTTCTCTTAGATCAGGAGGGGACTTTTCAATTTAGCGTGATACAGCATGTCCCATTAAAAAGGGTCACTTTCTTCCACATTATTCTCTTATTTATTTGGAATTACCTTATTTTTACTATTCCTACTTCAGCTGTATTTCACTCTCAACTATACATATTTCTTTTTTAGATAAAGTATTGTAGTGGGCAATAATGCATTATTTAACACTGTCCTGAGAAGATACCACTTCTTTGCATTCTCACCAGAATACAAAGGAGTTATTTTGAATTCTTGTCACCCTGTGAGATAAAGTATTCATAGAGAAACCAGCAGCTCTTTTTGAACTATATTTCCATAGAAATCTAGCTTTTCTTTTCCTTGTGATCTGGCCACGTCTTCATCTGCTGTGTTTTTTTACCATCATGTGGGTATTAAATCCACAAGGGAAAGAACAGCAAGCAGGGTCACTGACATTTGATTTTGGAGATGTCCACAGGAAATCTGACAGGACTCTAAGGATAAAACTTTGACCACAGACTTTAGTTTTGATTACAGGAACAGAAAGCTAGTTTTATACGTTATTTCATTACACTCTATTGTACCATCAAGGGATTAATGAAGTAATCCGATTCAGATAGTGACCTGACATTCTTATTTGGTACTTATGCTCTTTTTACCTTAAATTGGAGGTCTCACCTGCAGCCCACAGCCTTCTGGATGACATGTGACATACAACATTAATGATGCTTGCAAATTGGGACTAGAGCCTTCCAGAAAAGGGATTTTTTTTTTAAAGTTACAGAAAGGTAATGATCGAAGCTCTCCGTTATAAAACCCCAAACCATATGGTTTGTACATTTACATTTATTTCACAGTGCACACCTAAACTTTATTTTTATTAAATTCAGGTCCTGAAATTTGTCACATAAAGGATTGCAAGTAATGGTATAGCTCCTAGCAGCTATAAAGAACTTAAGTAGGTCCCTATATTAAATTAATTGGTTTTAAGAAGCATCCTTCTTCCTAGCTCGTTTTAGAGATTTGATGCATTTGGATCAAGGCATAGGACCTACGGATTCCTACAATCCTTTGTGTGACAATCCACTCAGCACAGCATAGCCCACCTCACTGAATTTTCATCATTTCATGTGAAACATGAAAACGCACTCCATACAGTATTTTCTCTTTAGTTTCATGATAAAATACATTACTTTCACTCATTTGATGGATCCACTCAGGGAAGGTATTTGTTGGGTAACATCCTAAAGGCTGAAGGGTGCCCAGGTTCAGCACAGCAGTTACTTTTCTACCCACAATAGTGTTACACGATGCCATGAAAAATGGAAGGGGAGCTACTGTTGGAACAGGGGCAAACATTTGTCCAATTTAGAGTCAGTCTTTAACAGTTCAAGGTGTTGGTTCTGTGGGATCAAGGCAAGCCTAAGTAAATCTCAGTTTCAATGAGAAAATATATAATTTCAGAGTTAGCTATTTTTATTCAGAGTAATCTCGGAAAAATGCTTACAAGTTATGGCTTTGGAACACTATTGTGACCCAAACTTACAACACATCGTCTTTAAAGTTTTTTTTACTTTCAACTGATTTTAGAGTTAAACTCACCGACATGGTTGTTGAAACTCACAGCCTTTTGTTTGTTTTTTTTCTTGCAAAGAGTCTCAAACTTAGGCTGAATAAATTGGTCAAACCCTTCTGCAACAGGAGCCAAGCCTCTGCAGGTTTAATTTACAGTTTCCACTGTTTATTGAACAGTGAAATAAAATGGCTGAGATTAGAATTGGGAGGTAGAGAGTTTGGTTCCTGGTCTTGACTGAATGTTTTAAGTAAACCTGTGCAAACATTTTTCCAATTTCATTACAGGAATACTTTATAAATGAAATCTAGTCTCATTCTCAATGATCTTGTCCACTCTTGTCAAAAAGAGCAACTTTCCTTCTTTTGACTGGGAAGGAAATCTCAGTTTTCCCTGGAGCACTTAAAAAAAAAGAAAAAAAAAAGAAAATCCAACTGCTGAAGCCAATTCTAAACCAATTTTAAAGCAAATATCTTAAGGGTAAAAGGAGCATTAGAATATTTCCAAACTAAAGTCTGATTTCAAAGATCCAATACTATTAGGAAATAAAAATGAACGCCAAAGTTCAAAATTAGCAGCAAGAAAAGAAAACAATTTCAAGATAAATTAAACATAGATTAATATGTAAGATTTTTACTTTATTGCACCACAAAGATTTAGATATGTCAATTTGTAACAGTTGCATACTTCAACACCAAGTTGCACTCCAGGTCGCCAGTAGGAAAAAAAAAAAAACTGCAGTCCAGAAAGGGCATCTAACCAACATGATTTATTCACAGGTTAAACACTACATCTTTAGAGATGGAAGACTAGAGTTAAATAGAAGGTATGTCATTGGTCATATTACAAGATGTTGTGTTAGGTTTTACATCACTTATTTATTGTAGGTTCTGTCAATGGACTCATAAAGCTTCCAAATTACTTTGAGCCCTGTTTTTTAATGAAGTCAATGAAAAACTCATTGCAAGCCATAGTCAGTGCAGCAACCAGAACAACAAACTCCTGGAAGTCCACTTCACCATCTTGGTTTTCATCCAGGCTACTCATGACCTTCTCAACCTCAGCTGAATCATAAGAGCCCTGGAGAGGGGGGGAGAAAAAAATAAAAAATGCAGTAAAAGCTCAGACTTTTCAAAACAGAAGACAGCCATCCTTTATAGCATCAATTGAAATACAGTATTCACTTTCTGAACCATTAACCTTGAATGACTTCTCAAGTCTTTGATTTCACAGCAGAGACAGATTTTTTAAAAATAATTTCACTATTAATTTTGCACAGCAAACATTCAAATGTAAGCATGGTTGGTTCATTCACATCCTTGTAAGATAAAGTTCAGCAATTACTGTAACTAACAGCCTTAAAACTTTCCCCATTAGACACTTCGGATTGTCCTGCATGCAGTAGCGGATATAAATCAAATGCAGGAGGGGGGCAGTGTGTTTTTCATGGGGGCACAGCAAAGCATGAAATAAAAAAAACAGGCCAGGGGATTCAAATGTATTAAGAGAGCTGCATGAACTGAAATTTCTAAACAATTAGGTTTAATTATTATATTTCTTATTAGGTCAATATACATAAATTTTTGACTTAATTTAAGTTAAAATGACAGTCTATAAAATCAGATAAGAAATCAAGAAAAAACGATACATTCAGCTGTAAAAATTTGAGCATTTTTTTACATTTGTTTTGAAAAAAAAAAAAAAAACATTTAGCAGATGATAACTGGGATCCTATCTCAATACCACTAAAGCTATAACCTTATTGTTTTTAAATAATTAGTAAAACATAATTTGTAAAGAAAAAAATTAAATAGATCCAAAGGACCCATCAGTAACCTTGTCTATTCCAGCACAATAATCATTAGAATAGCTTTGAATATCATGTCTTCAGTGCAGGGGCCATAACAGGGGCCAGGACATGATCTACAGGGGCACTGGCCCCAATTGGCCCCCGTCTAGAACCGCCCATGACTGCATGTATACATGGCCATATAAATAAATTTGCAAACCTCAGGGCAGCACTGCCATTTATATATACTGTAGTTAGTTGCTACTATAACTTCCTGTCTTGGCTTCTTAGCAGAGCAAAAATATTGTGATTTGATAGACATATCTACAACATACATAGTTAATAGAATGAATGTTGTTGAAGGTAATTTTTAGCCAATAGAAAAAGTTTCACCTCCTTTAAGGAGAGTTCCTCCTGCAGCATGTTCTTTAACTCCATTTTGTTCAGCTTGTATTTGTCACCTTCCTTTCCTGAATAGCTGTAGAAGACCTTGATCAGGTCCTCCATGGCTCCTTGCAGAAGAGAAGGCATCTTTGTAGTCCTGTGAATAAGGGATGAAAGATGGTTGTTTACAAAGGATTTTAAAAAACCTTCGAGCTAAAGAATGTTCATTTTTCAGATTTAGAAACAAAAAGCTGTACTTTAATGCTTCTTTATCACTTTGTGATAAACAAGGCAATATGGTTTTACCAATGGAGCACAAATAGCAAGTGATGCAGCCATTTAAATATCTCAGTGTCGATCCAATCAGTCAAAATGGGATGAATTCAGGGAGTCTATATTTGGGTAGGTCAACCATGATCTCCCTCTGATCTTGACAGTGTGCAAATATTAAGCTTTAAAACGGTGCTCTGCCATGGGATGCATCCATATAAGAGTTAGTCTGTGCTTTTTCACCTTAGGTTACTTTAACAGGTAATTTTTTAAAAGGTCGATGGAAAAACATCAACTTTAATAGATCAAATAAGTTATTTGATTTTTCAGCAAATGAAAAAAGGGGAGTATGGAATAAAGTCTACAGATGGATTAGAGCCACTAGAAAAAAAAAAGAAAAAAAGTTAAATGATTTTTTAAAAATATTTCATTTTGATATGTGGAAAAAGTCAGAATTCTGACTTTTGTAATATTATACTGAAATAAAAAAATCAGTAGCCTTTTTTATTTTTTCAGTGGCCCTAATCCCCTTCTGTAAATATCAACTTAGATTATCCTATTGATAAAACTCTACAGTTTTCAGCAGTTATAGGCCACTTTAAACATGAAAACCCCTCCAACAAATTCACATATAAAGCACAGACATCTACATGTAAATTATTTAGAGTGGTTAAGCGGCATATAAACGGGGGTCACTGATGTAGACTGAAGTCAGAACAGGTTAAATGTCTAACCTTACATCAGCCCTTCATTCTGACACCCGAGAAGGGCACACCGGGGTGCAGTCATTTCATCTCCCATCCAGATGAAAGACAAAGACCAGACCCCCTGCAGGGAAGCTTGCAGAGTAGACGTGAATAAAAAAATAATAAAAATCGTATAATTAACTGTAGGCATAATGAATCAGCATTGTAGATTGATGCCAAAAATGTTGGTTATATTTTCATAATTTAAGATCAGAGCCAAGCACAAAATGAACGACTGACGCAGAAACCAGCTTCATAGTTACTGTAAAAGAAGCTACAACACCACTTTTTTTCTAAGATACAAAATAGTCCGCAACATATAATTCCATATAATTGTTGTTAATTATTTGTTCCAGAAATGTTCAGAAAGCAAACTCAAGCTTAAAGCTGGTCATGTTTAAAGTTTTGCCCATTAAAATGGACAAGAAAGAAAGCAAAGAAGAAAAACAAACTCACCTGAACAGTGCAGCAAACAGTTCCTAACAAGAACAGCCTCTCTCATCAGTTTATATGGGATGCCACCTGTGGGGAATAAAATCAGATAAGCTCCTCCTTTTGGTAGAGAAGCAGCGCCTGCTGCACAGCTGCCCTGCAAGGCCATTTAAGGTAGTTTCTAACCACTCACTGATAACTCTTTTTAATCACCAAATTAGGTGACAAAGTCCTTCACAAGCTATTTGCACAGTTAGTTAAGATTAACATTAAGGAGGTTTGCAACCATTGTTTTTTTTTTGTTTTTTGTTTTTTACAATATCATCTGTCCAATGGATGTTTCATTTCAGAGAATTTTCAGTTTGGATCAAATCGAATAAGTTTAAAACTATCGGAAATAACTCTGCACCAATATTTAAACTGCATAAGTCAAAATCAATATGACTAAATATGCCTCTAAACTAGGGAATGAACGGCCATCTTACTGTTTTGCAATTCTATCCTTTAATTTGCACATGGGGGGAATTTAGTTTTTCACTGAAGGATACAGGGTGGCATTCAAGCAGCTGTAAAGTCTTGCTGTGGATTTGCATCAGCATTTGCATCACATACCTTAGCTGTTTAAAGGTTTCAGATATATTTGCAAATTTTAGGGTTATGTTTAACAGGAAAAGCAAAACTGTTTTTACCGTACACTGGTTTTAATTGTAAAGCACTTACCGGTAAGTACAACCAACAGCTGAAAAAAGCTGTTTACCTTCTGAAAAAGAAAAAAAAAAAAAAAAAATAATAATAATTAAACCTATGAAAGAAGATCAAAATAGAAAATCCTCATATTTTTGGAAACTGGACAAATGTCAAGTCAGCAGTTTTCAAAATATTTGGGTAGGATATTTAATTAGTCATAACAGTACACTTATTAAAAACTGTTTGATGGTTTGCTAAGAAAATGGGCTTTTGAGTTATCATGAGCTTTTAGCATTAACAGAAAAAAATACAGAAAAAAATTATTTCATTTTTTAAACTGAAATACTTAATTGTTATTTTAGTTAACTCACTTCAGTTTGTATTAGGCGTTGTAGAAAGGGCATCTTGGCACCGCTTTAATTAAATATTATTGTTTTTTAATTTCTTCTTTTAAAGGAAAACTGTATGACCTTTGACCCAAGTATTAGCTTAATTTGAAATATAAGAAATTTCTTTTTAGGGCAATATAAAGCAGTTGGTGTCGATCAATATTCCTCGCAGCCTGCTCTGCTCAAAAACTCACCTACAGAATTTGAGAGGGTCAGATCCATCTCTAAATGAGTCATGTGCCCCACCGCGATACTTTATGGCAGCCTGAGCTCCACTTAAACAGGAGAGCTGTCTAAGTATCTATCCTGGTAACAAAACATATGAATTTTGAGATATATTTTTGGTTCTTTAAAGTAGGAATCTCATAACTTCTCAATCTGCTGATCCAAAGTGGTCTGTAACAGATTTGAAAATACAGGGCAGACTAGTTAATTTAATTAATATCAGGGGTTATAAACCTGGAAATTACAGACCAACACCCCTAGTGGTTAAAAGTTACCCTGTGTTGCTTTAACAACGGTCTTAAAAACAATTTGCTTTTGAATTCAATTCTTGGACAACTCTCTACTGAAACCATTATCTATAAATTAGTCTCTGTTATTCAAACAAGGAACAACATTCTTTCAGATTTGTATTTCTTGACAAAAACAAATAAAATGTTACGTGTTATGTATTGCAATTGTTGCTTGCTTCACTAGTCTGAATGTGCATTCACGCCAAACATGGTGTCCGCAGCAAGGAAGGTGGATTTACATAGTATCCCTATGCAAACCAGATGGGATAGAGCGGCCTGCAGTGAATCCCACACAGGGAGAGCAGTCATTGCGCTCTGCTCTAGCTGTGTGAGCTTGACAGAACTGGTATTCTGGAAAAAATACTGACAGTTGGAGAAATGATGACATACGAGCTCTTCATAGGTTTCGAGGTGGCTTTTAAAAAACCTGTTTTGATTTAACTCTAGAAGGATTGTTCATCATCCTTCCTTATCGCCAGCGCAGACATCAGCTGTCTCTCCCCAGTCCTGGTGTTCTCTGCCCAGCCAGGTACAAGGAAACTAACTGTCACTGAGCTTTGGTTCTGTATGAACCAAAGTGGACTACTTTTTCATTGCTTTAAGGGCTTTTCCAAAAAATCAATGGTCTCTCCAAGTAAATTCAAAGGGAACAATTTGGCAGCAGTCTATCCTGTTGCATTTTACTAATGGTTTTATTATGAAGTAATGATATTCAGACTTTAATGGGAAATGCTATGGGGTTGCCAGGGGTAATAGCAGATCCAGATTGAACGATCGAGGAGGCTGATGAACTATTACATATTGTGAAACTGTTATTTCCCCCTATAAATAAGAAATATAGCTATTATTATATTAATGCATTAACTTTCACAAATAACTAATGTCTCCTCAGATGATAACTTAAAAACCAAAGCAGAAAAAGAAAAATAGCATGGAGTTAAAACCGTTGTTCTTGATAGTTCTTAAAGCTTATTTGCCTCTACCTATAAAGTCTAAGCTGTCTTGCTAGTTTCATTTCTTTGCCTTTTAATCCTTTTACCTCTGCCAAGGTCATGTTTTCAGTTGTTTTCTGTTAGCAGGATTGCTAAAAAAGCTATGAATGGATTATAATGGATTTTTCCAGTGGTGCGCCTCATGCCAAAGAACAAAAAAATATTGGTAATGATCCAGATCCAGATCATAATCCGCACATAGGATATTTTAAATGATTCTTTAACATTATTTGGGGGTATAAGTAGTTCCACCCTAAACCAGAGGGTGGCAGCAGTGACTATTGACAGCTTCAACATCAGACTAAAAACATGGTTAAAAGTATCATACTTGAGACAAAGGCCCAGTCCTAGGCTCAATCCCAAACTGCCCCATAAGCACTAACCCTTAACTAAGGAGTGTTACTCCAAATGAAGTCACACTCGCAGTGGAAGGTGCCTAGATTGAAGGGTGGAGGGTATAAACAAGAATGGGATGGCCTCTTCCCTCTAATAGAAAAGGAAAGCAACCGTTGCCATGCAGCCATTGCTATGGAAACACAGTGATGGCCAATGTTTGTAGCTCTGTGGTATACAGTAGGTTGAAATTAATTCAAATATTTACACCTTTCTTTAAAAAAAATGTATACAGTCCTATAAAACTATTTCATAGAGGACCTTCCCTTTTGAGATCAATGACATGTTTTTTTCTTTTTCCTAACTTGCGATTTTCTGTCAGTTTGACGAAGATGCAGCAAACCAGCAGACCTTATATTTGACTGTAAATGTGTCATCTCCCATGTTACACCCTGTTAAACCCGCTGCCAAATTCCAGCAAGCCTGAAGTTAATTGCCCAAGATTGGTTACAAAAAAACAGAAATGTTGTGACGATCCAGCTCCCGTACCTTGACGTTTGAATTTGATAAACATAAAATTCCCTGTAAATCATTTGTTCTCTAAATTGTTATTCAGTGAGTAATTCCACTCCACAGACTCCTGTTTTATTGATCATCCAGGGGATTATTGGCAACAGAAAGTGAATTTTTATTAAACATTAGTGGGTAAAAGAGAAGTGCCTGTTAAAGATTTATTAAATGTTAATGGTATTTATTATTATTTAACCAACCTGGGGGAGTGGTGGCCTAGTGGTCAGGGCATAGAGCTTGGAACCCTGAGTTTCTGAGTTTGAGCCCCACTCCTACAGATTGCCACTCTGGGTCCCTGAGCAAGACCCTGAACCCCACACTGCTCCCTGGGCACCCCACAATAGCAGCCCACTACTCCCTAAGGGGATGGATTAAATGCAGAGGTAAATTTCTCCAATGTGAGATCAATAAAGTTCAATTATCATTATTAACCTAAATAACAATAACCTTAGACATAATTAAATTAGCAAAGCATTACCTTTGCCCCTTAAATTCAGTTAATCAAGATCACTCTGTTTCAATTTATCACATTTTCCTAACCTTGCAAAAGGCAATAGAAATATTTATGACACAGACTTGCTAGGAAATGTATGATTTAATAGTTAATCTGTCAGTGAAACCTATTCTATTTGATTATTAGAAATAACAATCTTTTACAGAAAAAAATACCAGATTTAGGAACAGTGACCCTCAATAATATTCACTTGAGATATTTTAAATGGCCCATTTCTCCAACAGTTAATGAAACCAATTTAAAATACCAAACAAACTAAATAGATGTTGGTAATACATTTCAAAGAATGGGTTTAAAGTAAATAAGTTTAAAGAAATATGATAGCTGATAGTTTAGAAGTTAAAAGAAATATGAATTATAATAGTTTAAAGTTCTATCATCTAAAGTATTCTGGTTTTAGGTTGTGGTGATCCTGGCATTTTGATCCCCTAAAACACATTCTTAAATATTTCTGTTCCTCTATATTCTAATGTGTATTTCTTATTCCTTCCTCATTTAAGATATGTCTTGTACATAGTTAATATTTTAGTTTTAATTTTATTGGTTTATTATGGAAATAAGGTTAAAAACAGTGAGGTCCAGTGCTTGTGCTGAATAAAAGACTTGTTTTCAGGTGTAATGATAAAAATATTTCATATTTTACTGTATCTTTGAATACAAAAGTATTTCTTGCTGCAGTTATATTTTTTTAGCAATAACATTACAAAAACATGCAATGGTCCTCTCACATTTGATGTCTCTGTTATGATGCGAGATGCAAGTACTTTTCCAATTCTCCAGATTTTGCGCACTTCTAACCTGCACTTGAACACTTAAGTGCACTTTCTCCATGTGAACACTTCATTGAGGGGCTTGGTGTTTAGTGTGAGTATTGGAACTGGGCCAAATAACACAAAAAAGGGAGCAATGAGAGAGTGCAGAGCAGTGAAAAAGATAAGTGCAGAACAGACACCAGAGGCTGCAGACACACGTTGCACCTTACTACTGAGCTTATGAAAGGATTTTAAGGGAATTTTTACTACAGGTGAGCCTCATGCCAAGGAACAATTAAATAAAAAAGTGTAATGGTCAAAATCATGTGTGACTTTCAGCTCTAGGTGTAAGTAACAATATGGGGGAAAATTGTTGGCGGAGATCTGTGTTCTCAGAGTGCTTTTCTAGGTTTTTATGTAGTTTATCAGTTTTTATTGGTCTTTAAATGTTACTAGCACAGTTTATATTTTTCTTGACAATACCAACTTTAACTGAAAGTTCAGGGATTGTGTTAATAGTTCTTGTATTTTGGGGCAAATCTGTTTGTTGATTCTATATACAGTATGTGTAACGGGCTTGCTGTTAAGGAATACCAGTTCATCTTTTCTATTTTCCCACATGTCCACTGGCATTTTTCTCATAAAACAGCAACTGACAGAGACGGAGAGCTATTATTTCTGAATATTCAGGTAGTCAGTGGTTGAGATACAGAAATTAGTTAACCTTTGGGCTTGGCACTTATTACAAACTATCTCATCAAAACAAACCCATTGGTAAACAGCAAATGCTTACTTAAAGAACAACTCATCATCACAAAGTGAAAAGTGTGATATCGATTGGCAAAGTCATTCCTATATACTGAAAACTCTTAATCTAGAATTATTGAGAAGTCATAGCAGGAGCAGCAGAATAAATTCAAGAAATTGACATGTAACAATAAAAATTTTAACCAAATAATGTTTATACAAAAAATGTTTCATATACAAGAAATAAAACTTTACAACTCTTCAGAGTTCAAAATCGGAGACTAGCTCATCTCAGACTCTTGGGACTCTGTTAATACATGTCTGTGCGTCATTTTTTATTAATTGCCTTTCATAGTTTATAACGGTGCTTAGGTAGATGGCACATCAATATGGAAGCCAGTAACTAATGTTTTCTGTCAGAACATTACATTGCCTCAACTGATTTCCTCTCCTCCCATAGTGCAGTGCTGTGTCCTGTATGCCGCAAGCTTTCTGCATTCACCTCTTTCAGAATTTTAGCCTGGTTCTCTGTTATACTGGACTGAAGGTGCCAGCCTTCGTACTATGTGTGCAACATTAGTCATGGTGATTTTGTCTCTTCTTTACCATTGTTATTTCCTCAGACCACTTTGGATAGGTTATGATCACTGCGGAAATGTTCTGCATACAAATATATTGAACAAACCCATAAAAACACATATACTTTAAGGATAAATGTTCACTTGATGCATAGTGGGGCGACAGTGGCGTTGGATGTGGGAGTTTGCCCTGAAATCGAAGGATTGACGGTTCAAGCCCCGACTCTGACTTTCATTGTCGTTGTGTCCTTGGGCAAGACACTTCACCTACATTGTCTACTGATGGTGGTCAGAGGGCCCGGTGGCGCCAGTGTGCGGCAGCCCCGCTTCTGTCAGTGAGCCCCAGGGCAGCTGTGGCTACAATGTAGCTTGCCACCATCAGTGTGTGAGTGAATGGGTGAATGAATGTAGTGTAAAGCGCTTTGGTCAAGCCTCCTGTCTTGAATAAAGGCATTACCATTTACCATAATTTCCACCCACTGGTGTTCTCTTTGTCATGGCAAACAGAACACCAGTTATTCACATTTCTGCTCATTGGTCATGATATACTGGATCAGTGTAACTGTAATTTTCCCAAAAAGTGTTTATGACATATGATGTTAAAGCTAAAAGTTAAAGAGCTGATAATAACAATAATAACAACAATAATAACACAATCCAGTTTACAAGAATTATGGTGTTCTATTGACCAAAGAAGTACTGAGAGCTTGGACTTTCTGTATTATCCAGGAAGAATATGGAAGATGTAGTTAAAATTGACCTTTTCAGGGTTTGTTAGCAGAGAAGAAAGGTCTGAGACAGTTAAAGGTAAAGCAGAGGAAAATCAACATCCTTTTCTTTAATGTGTCGTCTGACAAAAGTCAAAATATAGGAGTTCTGGCTGACTAATTGGCATTAAAAAGACCAATAAGTCTTCTTGAAAAAGACATTGAAATATAGATGGCTGTCTTTTGCTTTGATCAGTTTGCTTCTATATGTATTCGATCTTCAAGTTCAATATCATTTCTGTGAATGCAGACATTTTGAATTTCTTCTATGTTGCCTTCATCAGGTATGGCTGCGTCCGGCATCCTTTCTTCAGCGAGGGGCCCGATCACAGCAATTCTTCCAGAAGACGTTCTGCTCCTTATACTGTTAGTTCCCTCACGGGTCATAGTGGGTTTACCCAGAACACTCCTCAGCTGTGCCCAGAAAAAGGGCTGCTGGTTAACCTGTTGGGGCCACTCCAGATAGGTTTTGGTGCTCAGCATCTTTTTGAGCTTGCAGTACTTGTTGGGTAACGAGTTTGGATCAATAGGCTCCTTCACCACCAGGATGACATCACTGAAGGTCTTTCCCATTGCTCGCTGCTGAGCAAAGTACAGCTCATAGTTACACCATTCACTGTTTACAAAGTGCCGGGACAGGACAAATATTACCTTAAAAAACAGACAAAGAGTAATGAGATTACATTTTGCTCAGGATCTGCATGGTTTGATATAACTACAGACATGATGAAAATACAATTTAATTCTAGAGTTTTATGCATGAGTCTACGATAGATTCAAATAATTTTAGAATCAGTACTTTCTCTTGGGTCACCTTTAAGCCGGGCATATACTGTGCGATTTTTTCAATCGTTGCATGCAGCTACAGCTCACACTGTACGTCTAAAAACCACATCGGACTCAGCTCCGCAGTGAGATGGCGCTACTCTGACTCGTCTATCCCGAAGCCCAATGAGTAGAAGAGGAATATGAAGCTCACTACAATGAAAAACGCTGCCTTGGCAATTTGTGCAATTTTGTTCTGAAAGCCCTAAAAAGAAAAGGTGACGACGCATTTGGACAAAGACATGGCTGAGCAAACGTGGCTACTACGGTCTGTCAATTTAACAGAAAGAACTCCATTTTACTCGCACCCCTGCCATGCTTCTGTGTTTTCATCTGAGAGGAAGAAGAAAAAGAAGAATCATTTTCTGCCCATGCCCACTGAGAGATTTGCCCACGATTCCAGATCGGGAGGTGGTCGTAAAAGGCCGATCGTCAGGCGTTACCCCCTGTACACTACACAATGTACGACGCATGATCAGGCTGAAACTCAGCCAAATCTAAAAATTCTCGCAACACTGGAAAGTCGCCCCGAAAAAGGCAAAAAATCGCTCAGTGTACGCCAGCTTTATGTTGTGTAATGTTGCAGTAACCTGCCCATGCTAAGTGGTATCCTGTTGCTGGTTGTATTTTTGTATTTTGTATTAAGCAATAATTTACATTTCTTTGACAGTAAGAAGATATTGCTAACCCTTCTTAAAAAAAATCTTGATTGGACTTTAATGTCTATTCAAGATGTTACTATTAACCTTGTTTCCACTTTCAGTTTTCAAATAGGAAGATCCAAACCTTTTAAGTAAAAGATGGTAACTGCAGTACGCTAAATTAACTACTATTTTTTCAATGTTTTGACTACCTGCCTTTACCTTCTAGAGCTCTCGCTTTATGAATAATTTAAAACGATTCTGGTTTTAAAAATCTAAGCAAATCAACATATTTAGCTTTCAATGTTGTTAACCACTAATCTGAACCTTTTTCTAAAAAAAAATCTGTAAAATCACTTCATGCAAAGTAATTAAAAAATATATATTTTTATGTATATTTTGAAGTATATTTAGAAGTAATTGTTCATACCTTACGACTGCTTTCAATGTTCTCAATAATGTTGTCAATGATCCATCTTCCTGGCATAAAGTCCCGCTCATGAATGCACAGACGATAGGGGTTCTTGTTGTTCTCTAAGACGGGCAAAAGCTGATCCCTTACCCAGTCAGCATCTGAGTGGCTGTAGGATATGAAAGCATGATAGTTGAAATTTACGATTTCCCCTGCTTGATTTTCCTTGTAAGCTCTGTATTTTGCCCGGATAATCTGATATGTGGCTTTAGTGTACCACGGGAGGTTAAAAATGTAGCAAATTAGAACAAATATCAAGACTACAGTGGCGGTGGTTGCAACACAGATGATTATAACAAGTCTGATGTCACATGCTACTTCACCAGGAAAGTATTTGGATATGGAGGTGTTAAGGAAGGGCTCAGGGTGGTAGCATATGTAGTTCCAGGGCCAGTCTGTGAGATTAATCTTTCCTTTTGCGATGGTGTCCTGGACAAAGGTGTGAAGCTCACAAGTGCAATGGTAAGGATTGTTTCCTGCCTTAAGCTCAGATAGCTGAGGCATATGCTGGAAGGACGCTTTGCTTATCAGACCAAATGAGTTTCCGTCCATAGCTAAAAACTGAAGCGATGGACTTTCCCACTTTGATGGGATGAACTTAATTTTATTCCCGCTTAGCCAGAGGGTTTTCAGATTTGTAGCTCTCTTAAAATAGGTGTTGTCCAGCTGGTCCAGGTTGCAGTTGGACAGATCCAAGTAGTTCACTGTGATCGGTAGACAGGGGAATGCTTTACTTGTAAGTTGATTGTGGTGAGCAATAAAACGAGTTATATTTTGTGTCCAAACACAGTTTACAGTTTGTTCTGTAGATCCCAGTTTGTTGTTGCTAAGATCCAGTACCTCCAGCTTCCTGAACTCCTTTGTTAAAGAAGATATGTATCCTAAACTGGTCAGGTCATTTGTGCTGAGGTTGAAGATATGTAGATTTGGCATGGTGTTCCTGTAATTACACTGCTTATTGTAGAGAAAGTCATTATTTAGCCGATTGTTAGAAACATCCAGTAACTCCACACCATCCATTTCAGTCCAGGAGTCACAAGGCACACTGTTGAAATACACGTGCTGAATGGAGAGCTTCTTTATTTTCTTTAACCAGGTGAAGCGCCAGTCAAAGCGGAGCACATCAGGGTTGCTGATATACCTGTAAGAAATTTAGATTTTTATTACAGTGCTTTTTATCCTTTCTATGGAAAAAAAATCCTTCACATTTGATAAGTATTTTATTGCCGTTTTAAGAGACAGATCAACTCATATAATAATGGGTAACATGTGTGAATTTGCTTCCCTTTATTTTTTGCCATTCTTTGAAAAAGCTCATATTCAGTCAAACTTAATGAGGAAAAGAGTCTGTAATATTTTATTACAGTTTTTCAGTTTGTTTTAGTTCTGCGCTGTGGCCAGGCCATTGTAACAGATGAATAATGTATGCTTTCCTCCAAATAAGTGCATTATATCACTGGATTTATGTTAGTCTTACCGTATTGTAAGAACAGTCCCAAGTCTTCTACATACTGTAATTTTCAGACTATGCATTTTTTGGGGGGGTTATTTTAGCTCTTTTACTTTTACATAAATCATCTCCCCCCCTAGGATACAGTATCATTAAAGCTCCCATATTATGCAATGCTTTGCCTCTTCAATAGCTATCTTAAATCTAATATTAAGAATTACCTTTTCTCTTTTGTTTTTTTACCTATTATAGGTTTTTATTTATTTACTTCTCTTGATTTGTTTTCTTGTCGCTTCCTCAGCTCGCATTTTTTTTTGTTTTCATCATTTTATTAGTTTGACATTCAAATGTTCAAATCATGCATTTCAGTAATTCTTTTTGGTGAGCATTTTGATGTAGAAATTAAATAAAATTTTATTTGTATTCCAGCTATAAAACGTTTTCCTCCAGGATTTTCCTGTAATGTATAATTATCATTTTATAACTTTTTCTGTCACTATGAAAAAAGTCTCTACACAACATGATTTTGCCACACATTTTAACAATGGAGTTGGTGCATTCCAGGCAGTGCAGTCCTTTCATAGAGAATAAAAGTTAAATTTACATTTCGTCTGCACCTTCTTCCCCATGTTTGCTGTGTCCTCCAGATGTGTTTTGAAGTGATGCAAATATAATAGTCTTCTTTCAGCAATGGCTATTTTCCCTTGATTTATAAACCCTTAGATTGGTGGAGTGCTCTACTAATAGCTGTGCCGTTATCACATTTTCCAACACGACTATTGTATCTTTAAATATTGGTCAGTCTGTTCATTAAACACCATCTATGCATCTATCTTCTCCCGCTTATTCTGCCAGGGTGCCTATGACAGGCAGTCTATGGGCAAGAGGTAAACCCTGGAAGGTCTTGAGCCCATAACATCATCTATGACCCTCTCCCACCCCCACCATGGACTGTTCTCCCTGCTGCCTTCTGGGAAGAGACTTTGCAGCATTCAATGCAGGACAAGCAGATTCTGCAACAGTTTCTTCCCCAGTGCCATCAGACAGCTGAGCTGTGAGCAAACTCTAAATCTTGTCAGAGACTCTGCATCCCACTGATAACACCAAAACAAAATACAGCATATTTGCACCACACATATTCAATGCTCTGAACTTCCATGTCAATGCCTTTTTTCCTCATGTCTTTTCTTCCACCCTTATGTCTGGTGACGTCATGAAAGGTCACCAGTCCATTGCAGGGCAACACACAACCATGCACCCCTATGGACCAATTAAAGAAGCCCGTTAACTTAACAGTCATGTTTATGGACTGTGGGAGGAAGTCAGAGTACCTGGAGAGAACCCACGCTTGCATTGGGAGAACATGCAAACTACATGCAGAAAGACCCTGGGCCAGGAGTCAAACCCAGAACCTTCATGCTGCAAGGCAGCAGTGCTACAAACTGTGCCAAACCTTAATTAAACACCTTACACTATAAACAATTCTTAATATAATTATGATTTCCGTTATTTAACAAAATGTAAAATTGCATCGATCATCAAAAAGTATTTGCAAAGGGGATGCCTGGATCGAAATTCTGGAACACACAAGTCAAGCACATTATGCAAGACAATACAATCGAAATGTATTAGTAGAGGTGGACAATCCAGGTCCAGAAAGTAAAAGAACCTGTTTGGATTTCCTTCATCCTGTTCAGTAAACCAGGCGATCAGTCCCTGTCTGTGTTGTGGAGTTGAAAATGTAATTGGTGGAACTAATCTCTGAACAGGCTTTTTTACTTTCTGGACCTGGACTGCCCTTCTCTGTTTATTTCACAGCAACAACTCACCAAAGGTCCAAGTTATCTAGTTTCAGGTTGGTGATGCTGGAACCTGCTCCACTGTCGACAAATGTCGGTGAACGGGCAAAGTCGATGTATTGCAGTCGAAGCCTTTTAATTAGGGTTACTTGTAAGTTCAGCAAAGCCATCCTCAGTAGATTTTCATTGAACTTCCCTCTGTGAAAAATGAGCTGATCTGCTCTAATCTCCTTTAAATTCTGGAAAATATCATCCTTGAGGTTGTAGTATGTGAATTCAAAGAGGTTGCGAAATTGAATGACTCTGAATGTCTTGTTGCCGAGATCATGAAGCATATCTTCAAGAGCCTTTGGCCGTTGATCTATAGCCATATCAAAGCCCATATTCTTTGTCTGGATAACTTCTAAACTTCCCTTCTCATAGTAACTTAAATTTGAGGAGCACTTGATAGCAAAACCTTCTAACTGGATGTTCTTTATAGGATGAAAATCATTTTTCCTTAGTCCCATCACCAAAGGGCCACCCATAGACAGAACTTTGAGTCTGACTAATCTAGAGAAGCTGTTTGCTAAAGTTGCATTTCTATAAAGGTTATTTGACATGTATAGTTCTGTCAGATTCAGAAGGGATGTCAGAGGTGATGCAGGAATTTCGTGTAGTGAGTTGTTAAAAATGTTAAGGGTTTCAAGTAATAGGTTATTTTTAAAGGCATCATCGTCAATGTGTGAAATGTTGTTGTACTGCAGCAATAATCTCCGGAGCTGAGGAAGGTTCTGGAAGTCAGCAGCACTGATAGCCTGAAGCCTATTATAAGAGAGATCTATGCTTTTAAGTGTAATAGGAAATGTTCTCCATGGGACAAATGTAAGCTGCCTTCCACTGCAGTCTGCAGATAGGCCAAAGTTGTAGATCCGGCAGGGCCCTTCATGAGAGCTGGTGGTGGGAGGCGAAGATGTAGCGGCTGAGGATGTGGATGACACAAATCCAAGAAAGAGAGCACTGAAAGGCATCAGCTTCCAAATCATGGTCCCAGATCTGAAAAGAAATAAAACCAAAATTTAGTAACTTTAAAACCTTTTCACTTTAAATTGGGAAGTAACAAATTCATTTTTGAAACATTGGTTGTTTTGTTTATTTTTCAATTGCTAAAAGACTATAAGATACGGCCAAAATGTAACTAGGGTCACAGTTCAAAATGTTTCCTATCATGAGTGAGTTCTAACTCATACATTTGTAGATTCAACCTCCTTCTCTTGTAATTTATGTAAATATCTACAAAACAGACAAAAAAAAAACATACTAAACTTATATTTTAACCTTTTGTAAAATATCAAGTTTGATTGATAAAAGTATGGGAAGTGTTTTGCTTCTGATGCGCCTCTGTTTTCTATATACTGTATTTATTAAGGCGGAATGTAAATATTTACCACGTGCTACTGTCTCAGGAAGCAGTGAGCTGCTTTCTACTGTTAATTCAACCTTTCAATTTGTTTGTGTTTTTTTTCTATTTCCATGGCCCTTTATCTCCTAAACATTTTAGGCAATGATCCATACACATCTGTTAAGGAGGTTAAAAAACTGTAATACTAAATTAAACAGAAAATAAGAGCAGATTCAAATATATGATCAGTTTCATAAAATCTTGAATACTGATTTTTAGACATGCATTTACCTAATACATAAAGTTTCTTTAGTTCACATTTATCCATACGCAGCTCGTCTAAATCAAACACACTGTAAGCAATTAACAGACAATATTTACACTAAAAACCTCCATTGAATCATCAGTTTCAAGTAGGACATATTTTCTAATCTGAACATTGCTGTAAAACACTCACCCCTTCTTCACGCCCCTGAAGGATGTTAAGGTTGTCTGTTTTAAGTATTCTACTATCCCGCCTCTATTTATAAGACCCACCAGGCATTGTTTTGATCCTCACGTGAAGGAATAGTAAAGCTTTATGATAACCTCTTGAACAAACATTGTCCTTTTTATTGGGTCCAAGAGTGACGCGGCTTCAATAAACACATCTGTCTGAATGGGCTGGCTGTGGAACACAATAAGATATTTAAGATCGTTTAAAAATAAACACTGCTTAAGGGAGTCTTTTTTGTTTTTGTTTTTTTGAATCTGTAAGTGTAAAGAACAACCACCAGAATTATGTATGCTATATTGTATACCTGATTTAACAAGGACATAAGCATTAGACTTTAATTAAATATGTAGCTAAAAAAGCTGAAATATCTAATTCCAGGATGATCTTTTTGGCAAATTGTAGATACTGTTGCAATGACTTTCAGAAAAAGTTGTACTTTCAGATGGACCTCATTTATTTTCAAACAAAACCCTTTCATTCTCCATTATTAAAAGCAAATAAACTTTTCCCTAAATGAATGTTATGCTGCCTTATGAACAGTTTTCTTTTAAGAGACTCCACCAGTAGAGACTTTATCGCTTCATTGATAACTATCTTCTGCGGTGGACTGGCGACCTGTCCAGGGTGTACCCCGCTTCTCACCCATTGACAGCTGGAGATAGGCACCAGTACCCCTCACGGCCCCACTTGGGATTAAGCTTGTTAGAAGATGGATGGATGGGTGGGTGATAACTATCTTATCAGGCCTGTAGTGAGTCTCTACTTTCATTACAGTTTATCAGGTGAGAAGAGAAAATGTTTACATTAAGGTGAAAGTGTTCCACCTAAAGTCAATAAAAAACATTTACTCTGTTGTATCACCTGGCACTATCCGAAGCAATAAAAACTACTAAGCAGATTGAAAAAAGCCCCTAAAAATCTTGATTGTTTACCAGATTTGTTCTACTGTTTTTCTATATTATCTTCATCCAATGAGACTTATTAAATAAGTATTTTGTATCTTATTGATACAGAATTAATCTAAATTTGGTATTTGGTATTGAGTATGTGACATATCGTCTTGTGCTTTTTATTTGGTGTTTTCTATTGCATCTTCTAAATCAAAACATTAAGAAATTAAAGGGCTGATAGTTCTCATTAATTAGAACTATCAGCTGTTCAACTTTGCAAAAGTTGAACAGCTTTGTAAAAGTTGAACAGCCCATGCATTAATCTTTTGTCTTTCCACACCTGGTCAATTTAATTAATTTTATTCTCACATGTCATCTCAATGCACTCTACATTTATAACCAGAACATACAGTCAGATTGGTTCAAAGTTTTCTATCTAAGGAAAACCAGCTGATTGTATTGAGTCATTGACTCCACAGCAGTCCCTCACAGTAAGTATGCTTGAAGCGACAGTGGAGAAGAAAACTCCCTTAACCTCCAGCAGAACCAGGCTCAGTGTGAGTGGCAATCTGTCAACTGCAAGCAGAATAAAAAGTGAGGGTTAGAGCTTCCTATGTTGAATCGTACCTATTTTAAAGCTTGTTGTTTAAATAATTTCAAGTTATTCCCAACTAATAGATTGATTACAGTTAATTAAAAATAAACTGAATAGATTTGTGTTGTGGGCTGCTTAGTAGTGAGGTGGGTAGCACTCCTGCCTTGCAGCAAGAATTTTCTGAGTTCGATTCCCTGCCCGGGGTCTTTCTGCATGGAGTTTGCATGTTCAGCCTGTGCTTGTGTTGTTTCTCTCCGGGTACATCCATCTTCTTCCCACAGTCCAAAAACATGACTGTTAGATTAATTGGCTTCTTTAAATTCTCCTTAGGTGTGTGTGAATGGTTCTTTGTCCTTTTTGTCTCTGTGTTGCCCTACGATGGACTGGCGACCTCTCCAGGGTGTACCACGACTATCCGTAGACAGCTGGAGATAGGCACCAGCACCCTTCGCGACCCTGCTTGGGATAAGCGTGACAGAAAAACTGAAAGGGTTTTTTTTATACAGAAGACAAATCAATTTGTTCTGCATTTCGCACCATATTTATTTATTTTGCTCTGCACTGAACCTTTCCATGTCAATGGCTTTTGCACCATGACTTTAAACTGGTTTTACCTTTTTCTCCTACAATGTCTATGTACATTTTTATCACTACTGTACTTTATAAATGGAAATGTTCATTTAACTGTTGTAAGATGCTCATTCTGTTTAAAAGCTGTATGCATCGAAATTTCGTTTTGTATACATCCTGTTTATAAAAAATTACAATAAAGTTTGTATAAGTCTTATAAACAAACACAGTTCTCTCATTTAGCATAAGGTCTAGTTTCATTACAGAAATAAGATTAATGGAAAAGATATGTCCCTCAGTTTGTTTGACATTAACTTGACATGAAGTTTGTTTGCCAGGATTTGCTTCATTGATTTTTGCTGTTTACAAATGAGAAAACATTCCAGTTCTTTGGTATACAAGCTTATCTGTGAAAGGAATGTGCAAAGGAATGCTGCAGCAGACCTGTCGTTATCTCTGGTTTAAAATGCGTCTCTGCTACTGAGGTCAGGTGTTGCATTCATATTAATATGAAAACCATTTAGCATTTTATCTAGATCAGACATTTCACATTCAGTTTGGCTCACGGTCAAGTTTAAAAGGTAAGGCAAAAAAGAAACAGCTCAAACTAAAACATTTATATGCTCACTCTGTCAGAAATATAGCGATGGAAAGTCTTGTCATGTTTATGATTCTTCTGAGGTCCACTACTGACAAGCTTGTCCATCTTAAATACTGATAAAAGAAGATAAGAAAGTAGTAGGACAAACTGATGAAAGAGGAAACATTCATCTAACCTTTTCTATACTCATATAATCCTTGTAGGGTCAAAGGTGGACTTGTTGCCTATTTTCTGGGGTCAGTGGGTAAAAGGGGTGTTACGCCCTGGACAGGTTACCAGTCCATCACAAAGACATGCTGGATACAAGATACAAAAACCATGCAGGGCAAGACACACCCAAGAAAACTTTAGACCTTAGAGGAAGTATTTTTGACTTAGGAGGATTCAGGAAAACAGGAGAGAGAAATAAACAGGATAACCTAAGGCCAAACAATGGGGAAAGAAAATCTTTCCACCTGCAACACCACACAGGGCAAGAAGAATAAAATATATATATATGTTCTATAGTCTATTTAGTGTCAGGAAAGAAAAAAATGCTTTTATAGGTGATTCCTATCTTTTGCTAGAAACATTTACTTCATCATCCTTTAAAACATTCTTGGCAGGCATTAACTTTAGACAAACTGAAAGAGTGTTTGGTCTCTGTGCAAACAGTGTAGGTAAGTAGTCAGAGCCAATGTAATCAACCAGTAGCTCAGGTAGGAGGCTGATACAAGCTGACTTTTTATTTTTTTTAATCATGTGATCCATCTATTCACTGGACACTTTTTAGGTACCCTTGTTTCACAACTTTTAAAGTCAATCAGTAATTTTAATCATATGTATATAGTTGAAACCTATATGTAATGTTATCAAATAACTATGGACCATTTTCTTTTTGCTATAAAGAAATAAGGCAGTTTGGAAATTCAATTTGTACTCCAACCTGATACTAGCAAGGTGTACATAGTTAAGTGGCCAGCAAGAAACTATTTCAGTTGAAAATCCTTGAGCAGCATGAACCACAGCTTCAAACTAAACACCCATCCTACATATCAGCACAAGAGAAGCAACAAAATATGAAGAAACTAAATATAAGATTTATAAGATTGATCACAAAAGGTTTGCCGCATAGCAATGTATGCACTTTCTGTACAGTATCCTGTGTAAAGCCTAATCTGTTAAATACTGTATTGAATCCCTTTTTATATCTGATCAAATGCCACATGTCACTTTTGTTTCAACAAAAACAAGCTTTTCTAGGTACACTGAAAAATTCTAAAATTGCTCCTTTGACAGGATGATAAATGGAGCATCCTTATGTCTACATTTTGTTTTTATTCACAGATAAACGGATTTATACACTATTAACAAGTTACAAATATTTCCGCCGAATACATATATAAGAAATTTACATTTACCACTGAGGCCCATTTATCCTCATGATCATTTAAGCTCTCTGTGCCTCCTTAATAATGACATTTGAGAAACAAATATCTGTTAGGCTAAGAAAGAATAAGAAA